CCTGGAAGTAAGAGAACAAGTATTTAAATTTGTATATTCCTGTTAATTTTAGGAATATAACAAATCATACAATTATTTCAATGATAATTTTAAGTTCTAAAAGTATGAAGTCAGTTTAACATGCAAGAGAGGCTGCTCCAATATGAAATGGAAGGAAGTAAAAATTATAAAGCCTGCCAACAACTTATATACTTATCATTTTAATCTGTGAGAGGATACTTCAATTTGATGTCACACTTACACTGCAGTGTGATTGTTATTTACTGAAATGATCCTCAGGCAGGCCGTATCTAATCATACTTAGTCAACAGGAGACCATGATGGCTAGGTTTAGTTAAAACAGTTAAAGTCACATTTTCTTGCCCTTGGCTTGAGTCCAGAGCTGGTTTCCAAACATGACATTTACTTTTAGTCGTAGCTAGGGAAAGTGCACGAAGGATGATTTCAGTAAGAAATCAAGTACACTGGTTTACAGGTGACTTCTGTCTTTTCTGTTTGATGCTCTATATGTCTCTTCTTGGCTGCCTTTATGTCGGCAGTAAATCCTCTTTTCCTACTGTGCCATGACATGGTAGAAGGGTAAACAAGCCCAACTGAGACAGAGAAAACTCATCCTGTTGTCAGGAGCTCACTCTGAAGGCAACGCGCCCACTGTTTCAATGACAGCCTTACTGCACTCTGGGGGAAGCAGTCTCATGATTAAATCTCAACTTGAAGGTCTCAGCTCTTAATATTGTTACGATGGACATTAAATCTCGGTATGAGTTTTGGAGGGGACATTAAAACCATAGCATCTACTGCCATTAAGCTGAGTTTTGATCCCAATGTCCATATGAACAAGTGGCAAAATTAACAAAGACATAATGGTAAATATCAGAGATAGGCGATAAGAATCATTAATGAGGACAAAACGTAAAGAGCAAAGGTCAGAAGATGAGGCCTGACAACAAAGTTCAAAAAAGATACAAGAAAATAGGTGGCGTTCGGCTTCAGAATGGAAGGCAAAGGCTGGGGGAGACACAGGAAGAAAGTAGCCCTGGGCAGTGGCTAACGTAGGGCTTTTGGGGTTAATTTGCATGAAGGCTGTCTGAAACAAAATGAAGTCACTTTTTTCAAGCCATACCCCTAATAATAAAGCAGAGAAGTGATAAAGGAAGGGATCACATGTGTGCTTGCCTGCAAAAAAACCTGCTCACCAAAGACTGCCAGAACCACAACCTTGCACGAAGATAGAGCCATGAGCTTACACAACAAACACTTCTCTAAGGACGCCTGCCCAACGACTGTCCAGCCTCAGATGGTGCCACCCTTGCTACTGATGCTTAAACACCCTCGATTTTCACCCTGCGGCCAAGGATTACTGTGTAAGAACAACTTACTATCCTCTTTATTTTGATTTAAAAAATTTTCTCTGCCTTCAGCCTCCTTGAATATGAGCATATTTTGCTATGTGATATGCTGGTGAAGGAAAATTCCTAATCCACGCCCAGTGCCCTTGGTAAGGTTAAAAAGAGACAAAGAAAGAGGAACTCCATGTGAGCATGGAGGTCACAGTGAGAGGACAAGCACGCAATCGTGAGCCCTCCAGAAGGAGTCAGCCTCACTGGTCATTTGATTGCAGACCTCCGGGCTCGAGAACAAAGACAGAACACATTTCTATTGTTCTAAGCCACTCACGTAGCAGTACTTTATTACAGCAGTCTGGAGATATGAAGACAGTAATAAATGGATGAAGAAAGAAAGAAAACATAAAATGCAGAAATATTTTGATATGTATAAAATGATATACCAAGGCTTATTAAATGAGGAAAAAGATGACAATCACATAAAAAGTCATAACTTTATTTATACTGGATTCTATTTCCAGTTATAGATGAGAAAATTAAATTTACAAATGATAAAGAGCATAATATAACACATATAATTTTATCAAAAAAGCTATGGGATAGCTGTAAACAAACTGCAAAATTTCATTCCTGACTATCAAGTCATATCGTGTTTTTAGACAAGCAATATATTTTTCTTTTCAAATGAAAAAATAAATGTAATAATAACTGCAATTAAAAAGCCAATGTGAATATTATTGATTCAAAAATTGGAAGCAGACTATCTTTTTAAATAGTCATGACAAAGGAGGTGAAGGGTCATATCTGATAATTTACTTCAAAATGGCCCAGCCAAGAAATGATAAGATATATGGTAAAATGTTAATACCTTTGAATCTAGGTAGTATGACATACTATTTTTAGGTAAGTTTGAAATTTTTCATATTAAAACTTAAAATATATACTTCCAATTTTCAAGAACTTTTGGAAATTAAGTGGAAGACAGTAATCTAAAGAGCATACTTGTAGTTAAAGATTACACAATTACCAATTGTTATGGAGTCTAAAGAATTTTCCAAATACACATAAAATCTTAATGAATTCAATTAAGTGGAGAAATGGATTACTCATAAATGGTATTGATTCAACCCATGAGGAAGAACTAGTCACATAAAAACATAACTCTAGGAGAATTAAGATTTAAATTCAAACTGTAAAAACATGCAAAGAAAGTTTTATTGACTGTTTATATTACTATGAGATGATTAAAACAAATGATGACCAATTTGGCTTCATGAAACTAAGTGTTTCCTTCTGCACAGAAGAAAACCTGGTACAGAGCCACAGCACTTGTCCAGAATGTCTGGAGGCTCCGGATTTGGTGTAGCAGTGAAAGAGAAAAGAAAATCTGCACAATACTTTTGAAAGTAACCTTAGGAAAATGTCTGTAATGCAGAAAATTTTAATATCCTTAATAAATATAGAGAATGTAAAATTGTTTACTAAGAAATAAATAATCCAAGAAAGTATAAGCAAATATTGTAAACACAGAAGTGGGAATAATAAATAATAGTAAGTAAACATGAATATATGTTCAGTGCAGTAAGTAGTCAGAAAATGACAAAATTAATGATAAATATTTTTTACCCATAGGAGGGGGTAATTTTCTAAAATCTTTTTTAAAAATTTAATATGTGCATAAATTTCCAGCAACATATGCCACATGCTTTTTGAAATATTGGCAGGAAAGACTTTGTAAGCAAGACTTATTGAGGCACTACTTATAGAGCCAAATTCTAGAAATGCTGATCATCAATAGAAAAAGTTCAGTAAATCTTTTTATAGTACTTCATATCACATGACTTCATTAAAAAGGAATGTATCTGGTATAATCATAGTTTTATTTTAAAAGAGAGAAATGAGAAAAAACGTACATGAGTTTGTATAAACTATGTACTGTGCATCCACATGTCTTTAAAAATACAAAAAATTCATGATATGCTATTTTAACAAATAAGCAGGTAGTTTTAGAGTAAAGGAGTATTATTATTTTTCATGTGTACATCTCTACACTGAGTTGTCAAAACTAGCATTACTTTTAAAATTATGAAGTGTAAAATATTCACATGAATATAGTATATGTATAATTAGCGCACAGGATGAACACACAAATACATACATATAAGCACCTTAAATAATATTATTTGCAATTCGATGTTTACATTTTCTATTCTCTAATTATAATTACTATAATCATTTAGCTAGAAAGAATATATTCAGGAATAAAAAAGGAAACACATGGGAAGTCAAAGCACACTTCATGAATACTTTCTCTGATCTTATAACTACCATTTAAAAACTGTGAGCAAACACCTGTTTGTACAGATTTTAGCACAACCTTTTGGAGTCAAGAATATTCCATACTTCTGGATTTCAGGCAGAGGAAAACATGCCAGAACACCCTAACGGACCCATACAGACCTTCACTGATCCCCAACCTTTGTGGGTCCTAAGAGGGGCCCTTCTGTATACGAAAATAATATGTATTGCTTTTTTTAAACACAGTTCCCAATATTGTGCCTATATTTGAAGGTAAACTGAATCACAAATAATAGTTGTGTAATCAAAGAAGTCACTGTCGTTACGCAAACTATATTTACTCTTGATGAGGGAAACTTTATTAGCTATCAGTATTCACTTGTAAAACTAATGTTTTGTGTTTGCATATCTGAGAAAATTTCTTCTAAGAACTTGAAAACAGACTGTCCCATAGAGGTTTAGTATTTAGTGGATCATAGAGAAGATATGCAAAGCACCTGAAGAAGACCAGACTAGCACAGTAAACAAATGCTCAGAAATCTAAAGGTAAGGATGGCATCACTTATTATGCATTAGTCAGACACAGCAAAGGTATAGCAGAGTCGCAGCACTGAACACTGGTGCTAACCACCTAAGAACTGTCAAGGCGGGAAGAGCAGGGTCATCCAAAGATGGGACCCAGGGTCAAAAATGGGAGAGCAGGGTCCTCATGAACACACCTGGCATAGCTCTGAATCCACTAGGTATGATACTCAATGTTAGAAAAAAGGCATCAGACTAATTTAGCCTGATGCCATTAGAACATTTAATTAACTCAATTCTCTGTTCTGACTCAACGTTCTTGAACAAACTTTTGATTGCTACTTGGCTTCCTAAGTGATTCTGACTACAAAAAGGCCAGTATTCTGATCCTTGTGATGCAATTTAATTTTTATAGATCAAAAGAATGGAATTTCAGTTTTATAAAGCAGTCACATTAGCTTGGAGAATAGGATTTGGATCCTGAAAAGAGAATCTACTTTCATGTTCTTTGGGATCTGAGGCTGACAGTCAAATCCCAGACTGTGACAAAATCAAAGGCAGACCTCTTAATTTAAAGGTACCTGTTTCTGTGTGACCACTTTACATTCTGATTCGCATTCTAATTATCTGTACAGTGCACCATCAGAAATTTTGCTAAAAAAGTGAAATGACCAAAATAAATATAAACAAAATGCACACAGAACAGAAAAGCATTATGCTTACATTTTTTTCTATCAAATACAAATTCATGCCAAATTACATTTCTTTTTAAATTATCAATTTATTCCATATAACAAATTATTGGACTTCTAAAGTTTGTAAAGCTATTTTTACCTATGTGACTGATTAAGAAGGTTTAGCGATCCGGTCTGGTGCAACTCCTCCAACTGTTTCCTGTTTCCAAAGTACAAAGCAAGATCCGTGGCGATGATGGCTTTTCGGATGATCTCCAGCACCTGCTCGTACTCACTGGAGCTCAGGGCGGAGAAGATGTTGTGCCCTTCCAACTATGGAAAAATATAGAGAGAGCCACCAGTAGCAAGCTTCAAGCTCTAGTCTCATGTCATTTTCATTTATTTGATTCTATATGGTCAGTAATGCCAGTTGGCCCATTAATGACTAATTTTGGGAGATAAGAGAATAGCTTAAATGACGGTATTGGAAATAATATTTTGGTTTGTCTTTAAACTACACCAACAATGAGTCTCCCACTTAAACTATTTTAACAAAGGGAAGAACATTTGCTATTATAAAACTCCAATGACTTAAATACACGTAGTTCTTTAAATATCTGTTGTAGCTACAAGGCTGAAAAATATAAAATATTTAAATTAAAGACTTTGTCTTTTAAGATAACTAAAAACTTTAGTATTTTGTATATTATATTGGAAATGGGATTAGAAAAACATCTGCCTCTTTGACAACCTCAGATTGTATCACAAACCATAATCTACTTTATGTTTCATAGAGAAAAATATCCCACAACCTCAACATGTTCATTCAGGCAAATTAAAAATGCTTCTTACAGGCAACAGCACATTTACATATATACAAACCACACATTTACATATACACAAGTCATTGAAGGCCTCTTGTTTTCATCCTCTGGGCAGGCTGGAAATGCCAGAGGATCATCCTTGATTAAGAACAAAAGATTGGTAGTTTGTATTCTATTATCTCTGAATTATTCCATCTGTGAAACTTATTGTTTTTTCCTTTTGCAATACTTGGGATTTAGTCCCTGGCTTTTACAGTAAGCAACAACTCCAGCCCTTTTTAAAAATTTGTTTGAGACAGGGTCTTTCTCAGACTTTTTACCCTTCTGCCTCAGCCTCCTGAGTAGGTGGGATTATAGTGTGCATTACCATGCCTGGTTTTAAAGAACTTTTTACCATGAGAATTTTTAGAGTTTTTTTGGTAGAAACTTTTGGTCAAACTAAAAAGGGTGAGATAATTAAAATATATACAATTTGGGGGTTCATCAATTATTTTTAATGATTTCATTATTGGACATCTTGCAAAGCCACTGTTTCATCTTTGAAATAAAGATTTTGGTTGGCATCAGAATCTTTCTATTTAGTCTTAAGCTCTTCCAAATATTGAAAATTAGCTTATGATAAATACATATATGGATGCAGTTCTAGTTGGTCATTTTCCTAACAATACAAAAGGTAAGACCTCATACATGTAGGGTGTTCTGCAGCTTACTGGACACTTTCAAAATCTTGACTTCATTTTCAGTTTATAAAATTATTTTCTCCCTCCCCTTCTTTCCTTCTTCCCTCCCTCTCTTCCATTTTTGGGGGTTACTGGGAACTGAACCTTACTTAGCCCTTTTTACTTTTTGATTTTGAGATAGGCTGGCCTTGAATTTGTGATCCACCTGCCTCCACCTTCCGAGTAGCTGGGATTATAAGCATGTCCTACAGTGTCTGGTGCTTTATTACTCTTTAGTATTAAAGAAAACTAGATGAAAAAGTTCAGTAAAGGGTCTTTATAATGAAAAGTTTTTAACAGAAATATTTTACTGCATCCTTCAATGTTTTGCAGGAGTAAAGGGAACAAATAAATAATAATGTCTTCTCTTTAAGAGAATCTAGCATTTTGCTTCTGCCAAAAAATGAAAGCAAGGGAGATAAAAGCAACCAAACGTACCAGACAGATAAATTTCTTATAAACCATTTTAAATTAACAGTTTCACATTAGTTAATACATAATAAAACCTTTTAAATGATGTATTATTTTTATATACCAATTGATAAATCTATTTTCATTAATCTCAGGTCACACATTTAATGTTAATTCAAGTTAATTAACCCTATTTTGTGTAAATTAAAATGAAATAGCAGACTTTTTATATCCAGGAATAGTTCCAAAACACCAACATAGGTGGACAGAACGTAATTCTTGTCCCTGTGAGAGCATAGGAATACACTGTTTGTAAATGTTGTAAGTATCTGAGATCTAAGAGAAGGTGGCGGGTATGAGGAATGCTGAGATTGGCTCTGATGCTGAGAGCTTCACTAGGGACTCACTGAATGTGGGGTCCTGAAGGCCACTCCCAGCCCTCAGCCAGAGAAATTCTAGTCATGCTGCAGCATTAGGGAAACATTACTTGCCACAGTGGTGTCTCCCTCAAGCAAAGACCACAGCATATGTCCTCACTTTTGGGCAGATATTTAGTCTGTAGCGCTCCACTGTATAGAAGGACATTAACAGTTTAGTATCTTCTATATTCAAGGTCCTAAGCAATGCAAGCTCATTTTTAAGGAGCTCTTAGTTCAGGGGAATACATGCAGATATGAGCACCCAATTAAAACAAACTGGCACGGACTATAAGAATGAATTAAACCGAGGCCTACAGAAGATCTGGGGTGCTCTTGCCAGGTGAAGTCACTAACACTGAGGGGTACGGAGAAGGCAGAGGAGTAGCCTGGGCAGAAGGAGCAGCTGAGACCACAGAAACCAGACTAGCTAGTGAGAACTACAAAAATTCCCACACAACTGAAGCAAATTGAACAGGGAAAAGACCAGAATTAAAGTAAAAATTTTACCATAAAATATTATCTTGAGGATAAAAAGGAGCCATTGATAGCTTTAGGTTAGATGGTGACATGATGAGGTAGGTGCTTCAACACAATCACTGCAGTGACAGGCTGGACTAAAACAGGTCAGAACCAGAGCAAGAAAAAAAAACTGATGAACCTTTTTTTTTTTTTTTTTTTTTCAGAAAGTAAAAAATATTATGAATTATAAAAAATATCCCCCTAACTCTATGTTGCTCAGCTCAGTCAAAGAGATTCTGATGGAAGGGATCTAATGTGCAGACTTTTCTTCCTCATGCCAACCAGTCCAGGCCAAGGTCCCCAGCATTCCACCCTGAAAGGGTTGAAAATCGCCACTTTTCTAGGAGACCACCAGTACAGGCTACATTATGCAAGTCTTTGGGGTGACAGGGTGAAGTCAATGATATAGCCACTGGGGATCAAGCATTCACAGTAACAACACTTTTAACAGATATATAATACTTTTAATGATATTTAATCATCCAGTGCATCAAGCCACAAACTAATAAGTACCATAATATTATAATTAAAGGCAAAAGTTTTGGAGTCAAACAATTCTTGTTTTTAATCTGTTTGGTCACTTACTTGCTGTGTGACAAATGGACAAGTTACTTATCTTTTTGATGAATATTATTCATGTATGTAAAATGGAAATGAATAAAAATAATATGTTGTAGGGATACTATGAGAAATCAAAAATATTAAAATGTACAAAATACTTAGGTTTCTGATTTGGAACAAATACCCAATACCTGATAAAATGATGATAACACAAACTACATGTACAACTTGTGCATTAAGAGTTAAGGGACAGGGGGAAGGAAAAATGAATGACCAAAACCAATATATCCAAAACTGATTTTGATATCCAAAGACCAATTTCTGTTTAGAAAACATTTTCAGAAAAGCAAGGATTTAAGCCAGCTTCTGTGTCATTCATTTTAGGTTATTATTAACTGTAATATTGAACATAAGCACACTTCTGCTATAACTGAAAGAAGCAATAGTAAATTCTACCTATTGCAGAGAAATAGGAGGAATCTTTAGCGAATTCACAGAAATAATAGTGCTATAAAAAGTAATGAGAAAGTCTTAGAATCCTAAAACATTGAGTATATATATATAACTTTCTGAAATCAGATAATATTTAGGGTATTAGGTAATTTAAGATTAATGGAACAAGAAACTTGTTTTAATAATGAGAATAATCATTTCTAATTTGTCCATTTTCTAAAATTTGACTTATGATTATTTAATATGGGATATTCACAAAAAAGCAAAAAATACAAAAATAGAGTTTCAATATTCAAGATGATCATTAATATCTCACTATGATATAGACTAAAATGATTTAATCTTTCAATAATAACTGTTCCATCACAATCACTAAAATGCAGATGTTTTAGGTAAGAAAGTTCTCTACTTTCTTGTTGTCACTGCCCACACAAAATCATCTCCTTACTTGGAGGCACCCCACACGCCTTCCACCCTGTGGCCACGTCAGCCAGCGCCCCGAGGAACCCGATCTGCTCCCCTGCTCCTCCACATGACCTGCACTTTCGAGGCTCCAAGCGCTGCCATGCTGCTCTTTCCACTGGCTCCTCTCGAGCCTGCTCTCTACCTTCCATTCCCTCCTCTGCCCGGCATTACAGACCTAGCGGTGAGGCTCCGTTTATGGAGACGAGTAAAAGGCACTGACTGGCTTCACCAATGTACACTGCCGAGGAGGTGGAAAGCCAACCTCATAAACAGAAAATTTCAAAGTTAAAAAAACCAGTAAGATGTATGAATGCTTGAGGTGCTCAGAAGCCATGGGAAAGGGGTGTAAGGCTGTGTCCCAGCTATGTGGGCAGACCATAAAGTCATCTTACCAGAGAAAGTAATGCTCAAGCCAGGCCTAAAAGATAAGGAGGAGCTGGCTACAGAAGGGAGGTGCAGAAGGGTCTGGACTTCCAGAGGTGTAAAAGGAACTGTACCCCGCAACAGGCAAAGACTCTTTATTAGTATCTCGGATATCAATTATGAAAATAGGAATCTATTCCCAGGGCCACCAAAAACCACTGAGGACTTTTAAACAAGAGTAGCACTTTCAGGCACAGATTTGGGGGAGGAACTTGAGACCTCACATGTGGAGCAGTGTTGGCAGATGAGGAAGGGGCGGAAGGAACAGGCAGACACAGCGATGGCTGAGATGGGTGAGGAGGAGGGAGAGCGGGGTGACTCTCAGGAGGCCGCCGTGGAAGGCGCGGTCCGTTCAGCATTCATCACTGGCGCCCAGGGGAGCTACTCTCTCCTGAACGCCCCCCTGACTATACACAGAAGTGGGCCTCACTCTCCAGGATCATACTCCTGACATCCAGCTCAAAGAGCTGACTGGAAGTTCAGCCAAAGATAAGAAGGCAGCTTTATCTTTTTGCAGCCTCTCTTATACTTTCCCATGATTTAGTCCGGACTCAACTTTTCACGCTTCCTTAACAAAAACTGTCCCCTGCATCCTTCTCACTGTGACCAAGTAAAGCCAAGCCCACATCTGTACTCCCTCTATTCTGCTGCATGAACTAAGCCATGTGAGGTGAGCACTGAGGTGTGTTTTATTACACACTCCCACTCTGCATGCTGTGATGCTGATTCAGTCAGTAGCATCTTCCTGCTTGTGCAAACTATCCAGTAGGGGGCAGAAGCAGTTATGACAGAAGTTGGCACTTAAATTAGCAAAGCTGTGGTTCAAAGCCACCAAGATACACATAGATGTGATAATGCCTGGTTGGGAAATATTTCTCACTATTATACAGGGTATTTTGTTGCTGTTGTTGTTGTTGTTGAGACAGGGTCTCATGCTGTAGTCCAAGCTGGCTTTCAACTCATTATTTAGCACAGGCTGGCCCCGAACCCATGGCGATCCTCCTGCCCCAACCTCTCAAGTGCTGGGGTTACAGGCATGTGCCACCATGCCCGGCCATACATGGTAGTGAATTACATATTTTTTATATCTTTTTCTGGAAATACTGGAGATTAAACCCAGGGCTTTGCACATGGCAGGCAAATACTCTACCATACAGCTACATCTCCAGCCTAGTTTTTATTTTATTATGAGATAAGCCCACTTTAAGTTGTCAAGGATAGCCTCAAACTTTCAGTCCTCCTGCCTCAGTTACCCAAATCAACTGTCACTACAAGCTTGCAGCACCATGCCTAGCCAACTGCATATCTTTTATCTGGCTGTGAGGGTGGATACTTAACAAATCCACAACCATCCAGAGAACAATGGAGATAGAAAATATCTGCAGAGACCAAGACAGCAATAGAAAAAGCCTTCTGTGGCTATACAGAGGTTTATAAGAGTCATTCACATTATTTAACTACATATTGCTTTGTCTCATTTTAATGAATGAAAGTTATGTGTTCTACTGTTATCCAAGAATATCTCATTAACTGGTCAAGTCGGGAGGTGTCTTCTGGTAAGACATAAAATTGGCAGGACTTGGTACTGGGTTGGAGGGAGGGACCTCAAGGAGAAGCAGACAATGAGTCAAGGTCACCAACCTTGAGGCTTGGGTGACAGGTCGCCACCACAGGAGATGCAAATGAGAAAAGCACTCAGGGAAAAGCACCGAGTAAAACGGGTCACAGTGAATGCAGCGTTCAAACAGTTGGACACAGATGTCTTGCTGAGCACTGGTCTGAAGTGGCACAAGTCTGAGAATCCTTCAGGCATGAGTATGAACCTCAGAGGTCAGCCAGGTCCACAGAAGGGTGGCACTGCCCAGCAGGGGTTTCCTTACCCCAGACTGTGCCGCAGGAGGGTAGGGGCTTGCATTTGCTTTGCTCATCCCTGTGTTCCTACTACAGCCTACCATGTGTTGGTAAACAGGAAGTGCTCAATAAACAGGTTTGCTCTGGAGCAGAGCTTCAGAGGACTGTGAGAAAAAGTGGGTAGTGAAGTACTATCAGCATAAGTGCTGAACAGCTCTGGGCACAGAGATTTTCAGAAAAGGAGGGAGCTGTTTCCTAAATGCTCTTGTCCATGTGGATCAGGTCATTTACATCTTGGTGTGATTCTCTCTGCCACAGCTCCCGTGGGAGGCTTTGAACCAATTCCGTTTACAAATCATCTTTAAACTCCTGGTGCAGCAATGCCCAGAGCTTCTTTCCAGCTTCCCACCTTGTCCTGGTTTTGGTACTTTACCTTTTGCTACCCAGGACAAACTTGCCCATACTGTCATCTTGTCAGTGACTGGAACTCATTCCATAGTTACTACTCTTGAACAACTCTGAAAAAGCCAATGGCTTACCTGTCTGAACTGACTTTTTTTGCTATAATTTCCTATTATTCTGTCCCGATCACTTGAGGAATGCCTCAGAGGTGATTTATAATATTCAAATTTTTGCAGTGAATTTGCAAAAACGGCAAACCATCCTGAACCTTCTTTATGTTTCATGACAACTGGGACAGGTGTTCCCATGGACCCTCTCCATGCCCGCAATTGTCTGTTGTAACTGTTATATTTATCTGGTTATTTTTTGTTCAATATATTTTGCAATTCTGTCCTACTTTAAAATTAAATCATTACACTTAAAATAGCCTTTTTGTTTTTTAAAGTTTTATTTTATCAGTCATGTTTCCAATGCATGAAGTTTACATTCATCTTCCCCTTACACTCATGTACGTAACACATCTCGAATCTTTTGTATTTGCCTTTCTCTCCTCACCCATTTCCTTCCCTCTGCCTCTAGATTCCCTTTCTCCATTTGCATTTTTAATGTTATTATTGTTAGCTTTTAAAATTTATTTACAGATTACAATGCTAGAAATGTCATAGTCAAACAAATGGATTTATGTAGGATATGGGATTATTAACTAAACTGAGTCCTAATTTGAGGCATCTTGATGTCATTTCTACTATTTATCCTTCTACTTGTACAAATAAATATCTTAAGAAGGAGTGAGATCAAAGTAGACGTAAACTATCCCAAAAGTCTATGTATTTATCTACTTTAAAAGCACACTTTAGATATATGTATATACAAACATCTTTGATCCTGCTCTAATTCTGAAACATTCTTGTATCTGTGCATGTGTGTATGGACTGATTCAAACATACATATCTCAGAAGAGAAATGACTGGAGATTATAAACGTATATTGCTTTAAGGGATGAAACCAGCCCATGAGCAGGTGCAGTGTTCAGCTACCAAGTGTTTATGGTTTGAAAATAACTAAAATAACTCCATATCTAACATATCTTTCACTGTAACCTAACAGACAATCAGAATAGCACCTGCCCTTAGTAATTTGATCATTTACCTTCTTGAAACTTAAACACATAAGTTATGCTGGGTTTTTAAGAAGGTTTGAGCAAGCAGTGCTATCAATTGCTTACATGGTTAGGTCAAATGAGAAGGTACTGCAGACGTCTTGGGGAAGTGGAGGAGAGGAAAACATACCCAGGGCACTCAGTGTTCACAGGAAGGCCTGCCCTGCACAAGACAGAACAACTGTGCCACATGGTGAAAGACTTTCTACTCTGCAGCCTGCACGCAGCCAGTCACTGCTAGAATGTCCCTGTGCAACACCAAAAGCTTAAGGGCTTTCAATCAATATTGATGTTCCCTTAGACATATCATCAAAAGATAGTCTTTCCCTACTTTGAGGTAAGAAACAGTTAAAAAATCCCAGTGATGGGATTCAAGCACAATGACATAATAGCCACCTTGTTCGGTGAGTCTGAGGAGAAGGTTTTAAAGAAGAGGGAGCATTTTCATCTTTGTATTGAACTAAGATCAGCCATCAGCAAGGTCAATCACCACGAATATCTTAAAAGCAACAAAATATAAAACAAAACAAGATAAAAGGGCTTCAACACACTTGAAACATTTAATTAAGTTTTAAGATTTACAGTTTAGCATGTTTTGGTTCCAGAACATAACAAAAATATAACTAAAGTATAAGAAATAAACTTTGCCTCAGAGTATCATATAGCATTGATACAAAAAATGTTATGGCAATAAAAAAATGTATGTATTCAACATTTTGTAAAGGTTTCTTTATCCTAAACCCCACAACTATTTAATTATGACTACAAATATACAGTATGACAATAAAATGCAGTTACTGTGTGCAAAGCAAGTCATAAGCATGTCCTCTTCTCACAAAACGTTGCTATTGCCTAGGAAGCCTCCAACCGAAAACATGTGGTTTGCCCCAGGGCAAGTGCTCACCTGCAGGATGGACACCGTCTGGGAGAAGTGATGTTGCTCCATGGTGGAGGTGGAGTACAGCGCTGCCAAGGGGTGGTCGAATTTCTGCAGATAGGAGTTACTAAAGCCCCTGTGGTCCAGGTCGTGACACAGACAGGCAATCAGCAGTCCTTTGCGCTTAAAGAGAAAAGCAGATAGATTCAAAACAAAGGAAACATAAGGAAACTTGCAGTTTACATTCCAATCACAGTAAGGCCTACCCCTACTATATCCAACACCCTTAAGAATCTGAAAATTCAGATTTCTCCGCATATAAATTTTACTGCCAAATCATTCTTGAGTTTTCCTGCTCAACTCTAGGAACAGAAGATGCAGCAGACATCAAATGCTCCAAAGAATTATAAATAAAATCTGCACAGGGGGGTAGATTGGGTTCAGTTCTTCATTCAAAAATCTAGGTGAGGTTAAAGTCAATTGATACTATTCTCATTATAAACAAGGACTGTAAGAATAATCATATAGTATGTAAAAATGGCATAGAAAATAACAAAAGAGTTAAAAGGCATTGAGGAGATAGGATGAGAATTAAACAAAGTGGCCAGCATAGAAGCCTCAGGAAGGTCAGATGTGAACCAAGGTGTGAGACGGAAGGAAGAGCACATCAGAGAGCAGCATGACGGGCAGGGTACGAGACAGCAGGCTGAGAGAGGGCAAGAGGGTGCCAGGGCAGTGCACAGGGCAGGCTGCAGTCACCAGGGTCTCATGAGTCTGAGTGATCAGGACATGATCACAGCACCTTCATCAGAGGGGTCAGCGTCTAACCCGTATTTTTCAAAGGTCATTCTGGCAACCCCATTCAGAACAGATTGTAGCACAGTAGAAGAGACTGGTGAGAAAGCTTTGGTAGCAACTGAGGCAAAAATATAATGGAAATTCATAAGAGGATATTTGTAACCATGGAAGCTTCTCAAATGTCATTAATGTCTTTTTTTCAGGCAGAGCCAACAAATTTTCTGACTATGTGGCTCTGAAGAGAAACAAGGAGAGAGGAGTCAAGCATGTCCCAAAGTGTCTGTCTGTGAGTACAACACAGGAAAGCTGTGGCAGGCTGGTGTGAGGAGAGAAGCCAGAAGTCCAGGCAGACTGATGATCAGTGGAGATTTCAGGTGACAGCTGACCACTTCGAAAGTTCTGGAGACTGCCTAAGCTGAAGAAATGAAACTGGCATTTAAGGTCACAGGACTTGACAGCTACTCAGGTTGCAGTCTGAGGATGCAAGGACTTAAAGGGTGAGTTCTTAAGCAGTCCAACTCTAAAAAGTGTCAGAGGAAAGGACAGAATCAGCTAAAGAATCCTAAAACAAGGTAAGGCAGGAGCAACCCATGTGCTCCCAGGAAGGCCAAGCGTTCCAGGTGTCCTGAGATGGAAGTGAAGACACTAAACAGAGAGGAAGCCAGCCCTTAGCTCTCACAAGGTACAGACTGCTACTGGCCAGGGCCAGAAAATTCTCTGGGGTGTTGAGATCAAAGCCTGATCAGAGCTGGTTGCAGAAACAAAGGAAGAAGACATTTGGAGGGAGAGCCAGGACAGCAACACTTCCGTAAACTGTGCTGCAGAGAAGAGCTGGGAAACCGGGAGGCAGCTGTGTGAAGAAGCAGACTGAGAGAATGGCCCGATGGGAGTGCTAACAGCACGCTTGTGTTTAGATGGGAGCGACGCAGTGAGGACAGAGGGAACAGCAACAGCAGAGACAGAGGTATGTCCTCAGAGACACAGGGAGGGGATGGGCATGACGAAGTGCAAGTGTCCACCCTGGAGAGGAGTGTGGAGATGGCTGATGGGAAGTGTGCATCAGGGTCTCTGGGGATGCTGTCATAGGAGTCAGCAGATCTCCCTGTGTATTTTTTCCCACATGCCCTGGTCCTCCTGTATCCTGATTAGGCAGAACTGATTTCTCCTACAACTCACTCGGAAGGGAAGTCTTACCAGGTACTGGTGCACCTTAACTGATGTGATACCGTGGGAACAATCATACCTGCTGGGCATTCTTAACTAACCGAACCAGCTATGAGTCTTAGGATCACTTTGGTTTTAAATTGTTTCTATATTTTATGCTGTTGAATGAACATGATACATCTGGTAAGGAAGTTCAAGGTTTTAAAAACTAGCAGAATAGATTAAAACTGTTACCTTCAGCTTTCCAATTTTTTCCTATTTTTATTGTTATAATTTTATTGGTTTTGTTAAAAGGTATACCAGACTCATGTGTCTAAAAATGATTTTTAAATAATTATTGTTAAACATCTTCTTTTAATAAGATTAAACAATAATTCCTAATAGTTTTATTTGAAATTAAATCTCCCATAAAGTATATTTTAAATATTTACATTTGATATTTTGTGATTGTTTTTAGTCAAAAAGACTCAAGTTTGTGGGGGGGGGATATGTAATTGCAGAAGTGATTTAAAAACTTAGTGTTATTAACAAATTCTCATTGATTTTTAAATGTTTTGTTTTTTTGAACAAAATTTCAACACTATTGTATTGAAAACACAATTTATAAAGTTCAAAGCTTATTAGCCATCCCATGGCAAAGAGACCGCCCCACCCTCTGCACAGCCAAATGCTGCCTACAGTACCACCTTGGTTTACTAAAGGGGAGAAGGGTATGGAGGGCGCTAGCAGGCATCACAGCACCAGTGTGGTCTCAGGAGCATCCTTGAGGTTTGGGTTATCCAGACATGGGGCCAATACCATTTGGGGCCCACGGTTTCCCCATCACTCAGCATCTGGCTGGGCTTTCAAATAAGGAGATTTGGCTATGGTGGCTGAATGGATGTTTCTAGATCTTGTAACTCGGAGATTTTCAAAGCTATGGGTATACAGTATAACCAACTCTGATGTGTAAGGACAGGTAAAGAGTTAAACACCACAAACCTGTTTCCTTATGTTGAAGGAGACAAAAAGCATTTAATACTCTGGGTTCTCAAATCAGCAGGGTATGTCTGTACTATATAAGGCATATGAGCAACACAAGAAATTCACTGTTTACACCCTCTCAGAACATTTATGCTTTAATTGGTAACAAATACTACCAAAATTAGTGTTTCCTTTATGGATATTTTGATGGAGTTGAAATTTCTGTACTTACACTTCTTAAAATACAGAATACGTTAAAAGCTTGGGTCCTAAAAATTTTTTTTAAATGTGTTTCTACTAATTTACTAAACCAAAATTTGTCCTGGAATAACACATCACAAGCCCGCGTTGCACATGTGTTGCAGAGGTGCAGCGCTATATCCACGGAGGCTGCACGGCCCAGGGAGTGGGGCCTGCACACGCACCTCGAGCTCCGTGAAGAGGCTGTAGTTGTTCTGCAGGATGGCGTACATGCAGTGGGCCACCGTGACCGCATGCTTCCAGTTGTGGTACGGCACTCGCCGGTAGTTCTTCTTCACGGACATAATAAAACGGCACAACTTTTCAAGGTCAAAACTACACAGAGAAGGAACCATTATGACCAACTCCAGCAGAGCGGCACTCCACCCCAGCTTTGTGCCCCGCTCCCTCAGCACCCCAGGGACAAAGATCCCCACACTGAACTCAGGAGCCCCGCAAACTCTCTTGCCACTTCCTTCTCTTTCTTTGGCCAGAAAGAACTAATAAAACGGACCCTCGCATAGTTTCTGTTCTGATATAGTAACTGTTCCACCACAGATCCACACCTGAATCGCCATCTGTCACCCATCATCACCTTATATTTGTAAGCATTTCCTCCTGCGTCCCACAGTGCTCAAAGGATGCAACTCCATGTTATCCTGCCCAGGGGGATTTTGAGCTTATTTTTCTAAACAGCATATTCAGATTATATATAACTACTAATATATTAGTTAATGTGATAATTATTTTCCTATATAAGAATGCTACTTTTGGGGCTGGGGATTTAGCTCAGCGGCAAAGCGCCTGCCTGGCAAGTGCAAGGTCGTGAGTTCGGTTCCTGGTACCAGAAAACAAACAAACAAACAAAAAAAAGAATGCTACTTTTATAATTACTGATTATTCTTTCAAAGTGAATTTAAGGCATTCTGGTATTATAATTCTATTAAGTTGCAAATGGCCTTAGCCAAGTACTGATATATGAAAAAACTATGTATACATATTTATAAATGTTGTCATTGTTTTTTATTTTATGTGTGTGGATAGTACTATATCATCATGTATATACTCTCATTTGAAGTCCTATCCTCTCTCAAAATATATTTAAGCAGTTTAAAACAAAAGAACATCAGTATGTTTCTCCATGGGACTCTAGGGAGATGGAGAGTTCATAAAAATTTTAAAATACACAGCCTGTGTTTCTCTCCATTGAAAAGTTTCAAATGTCCTTAAAGTAAAAAGTACAGCATTTTAAGAACTGTTGGTCACACACTCAGCTAGTATCTACAAAAGAAATGGAGTCAGCTGTCCTGTGTGCACCCTCACCCAAAGTTGATTTATTAAAAAGCACGAACAGAAGAGAAGAAACAGATATTGAGAGATGTGACAAAGGGACAAGGTATTTCTAGGGAGGCTAAGCCACTCTGTGCGGCACGTAATTTCTAAGTCAGTGAGGGGGATCATTCCTTTCACTTTAAGTTTGTGTGCTAATGCCGAGGAAGATCAGACTTTAAGTCACAAAGGCCTCTATGACAGGCCAATGTGGATGGACAAATATTTGCACTGAGCAGAGCTATAATTATGACAAAGTATCATCCTATAATCAGAAGACCTCTTTCTTTTACAACTAATCTAACAAATACGTAAGTTGAAACTTGATGCTAAACTTTTGTGCAGTTTTCTAGCCACACTTTTAAAGGCACATAATTTCATTCAGTACGCTAAGTCCTGCCTCCTTCTGCCACTCGGTCTATACCGTCTCTGTGACAGCCTCCCAGCTGCAGGATTTTTACCCAGGCTACATTCAGCTGCTGGAGCTGAAAAGGCAGCAGATTTGTGCGACAATCTCAGCCCATTTTTACTGGACTATTCAGAAACAAATGTGTCTATGCCGTATTTTAAGATAATTATAAGCGAAGAAAGTGGGGAGGCATATAAATAGTAGGAGGTCACACCGCTCTACAGTTCCAAAAGAGAGTGTTTAGTTATTCATACCAGAACGCCCCACAGGACTGATGAACCATATGGACAAAAATTCCAGGCCACATATTTTCAAACGGACTAATGTCAAAGTGGAACCTGAAATTAAAAGAGAGTTTATTATTAAATGCAATTAGGAAAAGCATAAGTAAAGAATATCATTTAACTTTTGTGTCTATACAGAGACTAGGAACGCACTGGGCTTGTGCCACCCTCAATTGTGTCTGTCGGCACTGAATGGTGCTGAAAGGAGGGTGCACACGTGTCTTCCAGAACTCAGTCACTATTGAATTTTCTTTTTTTTTTTCTGGTACCAGGAATTGAACTCACAACCTCGTGTTTGCCAGGCAGGCGCTGTGCCACTGAGCTAAATCCCCAGCCCTGCTATTGAATTTTCTATTACACAGTCTGTTAAAGAAAAAAAGAGGCTGGCTTTGTTGTCAGAGAAATAAGCATAAAAGTTATATCTGAATACCACATATATATCATACAACTCACAGATAAGGGGAAAAGCCTTATCAGAAGTTATTTTTTAAAGTTGAAATTTTTCTATTTCCCATTTAAACTGAAAGAAGAATCTCATAAAGACATACAGTACATAAAGTTATTATATTAATACTTATTACTCATTTAATACTGTAATTATTAACATGTGTTTGGAATAAACAATATGATAAAGTACTATATTTTGAATTGTAGGGTACACACTGGATAGGTCATTTCAGAAGACCTGTACATATCTACCTGTACAGATCTACATATCTAGCTGTATGTAGGTAACTAGTGTTAATTTGCACTCCCCATGGGCACTGAAATTAGCACAGATCTTAGCACTAGTAGGTTAAATATTAGCAGGTATAGAAAACAAAGTGTAGAAGTGGAGTTAATTATTATTGAATTCTTGAATTTAATTTGGAAATTTAAATTTATATGGAGGTATTTTATTATTGGATATTAAGAACCATATTGAATATTAAATATTACACAGTGTAAAGTATGCACCAGGGTAATAAAAATGTTAACATTTAGGTTAACTCTTTCAAAATAAAGTATGAATTTTGTTTTCTGAAGCAGAAGAAAATGACATCCTATGCATAAAATATGGATAATTATAAACAAAGAAAAAGGTGAGGCATATAAATAATAGTGATAACCATAATGCTTGTGATTTTAGCTCTATAACCTGTTTTACTTCTATTCAATGAAATTAAAAATCTGTTGCTGAAGAAACTAACAAAGCCATTGAGATTTGTTTGTCTTTTCCACTACATTGTACCACATCAAAAAAAAAAGGCCTCCCCTAGGGTTTAGCATCAAACCTAGCTCGGTAAATATTCACCAACAGAAAAATGCACAAGCCTTATTTTCCCTGTGCTAAAATGTTCAGTAAATGTTTCTTGAACTGTACAATATTAAGGTGAGAAATGTGCTGCCCCTTTGGCAGCGCAAGACAGCATAGCTTACGTGCAGCTCTGGAACCCAACTCTGAAGTCAGACCCACTAGGGGTCTGTGTGATCTATTGACCCATAAACACGTCATTGTATTTCTTTATTTCTCGGGGTTATTATCTATATGGAGGGGACAGTAATCATATCCCTCTCCAGTTGCCATGAGGATGCAGGGGCCTGGAACATATGGCACAGAGGCTGGTACTTGGGATACACGCATCAAACGACTGTCATGACACAATCATTCTCTGGAACTGAGGATAAAGCAAACTTGGCTCACTATGGTAAGAGGGCACACTTGGCTGGGCTTTTATCAGTTAAAAGGGTGGCTACTACTTTGCTGTGTCCAGGTTCTCTTGAAGATTAAGCTGGCTAGGGTCCCCTGCAACATAAATATAAATTCAACTATGACTACAAAATTTCTTAAAATATTAAAAAAAAGAAAAGAAACTGACAAAGCAAAGCACTCACAGTTCAATTTCTTTGCAGAGCCGTAGGGGCAGTGTGAAATGCATGAGGCCCTGCCACTCTTCCGCGGTGCAGATGCTGTGATAGGACAGCTTCTCCATGGTCACCCGGTAAATGCACTCTGAGTGACGAATTCTATGATACATCTGGAAGGTAAATAAAACAATTAGTAGACACAATGCTTAAAATCATTTGGCACTGACATTCAGAATTTGGCATAACAGAATCAGATCACTGAAATTAAGAGAGACTTTTCACTCTCCATATTTCCACAGGAGCTATGGCCACATGAGACCTTGAAGACGCAAAACAATTTGTTTAAAAAAAAAAAAAAAAAAAAAAAAAAAAACACATTGTTTTAAAAGCTTATTTAATTCTTTAACAAACAGCTTTTTACCAGACATCATTTCTGGGGAGTAAAATTACTATTTATCTTCTTTACAATGTTTTGTATTATATTTCTAAATTTTTAGTGAGAAAAATACTGAAAATAAAGCATGTTCATTTTATTACCAGACAATAAATTTAATAAGATTAAAGAATTTAAGAAATAAGATGCTTCTAAATCTGTTATACAAAAAGTTAATAATTACATGACACTGAATATAAATCTCAGCTTCCTAAGGGAGATTGCATCATTTCTCTCCCCCTTGATGATTTACTTGTACATTTTTTATATTCTTAAAATGAATAAATTTGGGGTTTCATTGGTGTTACAGCAATGGCTTCAAATGTATAACACGAATTTGTATATACCAGTCACAGACTGTACCCGTAAAGTTGACATATCAATAGGTAACGACATTAGTGCAAAATGGATAGGTATATTTCACTGCCTTATCAAATTAAGTTCTTATAGATTTATATTTATGCAAATGTAGTTTTACAAATAATTATAACTAATAGATGAAGGAACAAACTATAAGCAAAGCAAATTGAATGGATCAATGTGTATACATGTGAATTTCGAAGTAGATGAAATTAATTAGGAGGGGTGACTTAAAGGAAAAGCAAACGAATCCTCTACATCAAACTACTGAGGAAAGTGTGGGACACCGGGAAAGTCTAAGTAGGTTTCTGAACAGTCTGCATGCCCCTAGCACCAAACATAGACTAGCCCATCACAGACTACAGCCATTGCCTACCTAACAATGTAAGCGGAACTAAGAGAATTAAGATGTTTTCTTTGTCACCTATTTAGCTTCTTGGTGATCACAAGTATCTCTAGTTCAGGATGGTCTCTAAAAAGTTTGAATGTAAAACTCTTCATCCATAAAATAATTTTGGATGATTCTCAATGACTGTATATACTCCTTAATAATTATACACACATGCACTGTGCTGATTTATTACTGGTATATAAAATGTAAACTGAAAAAACTTAAAAACTAAAAATGTGTACACTGTTAGATGTTTTATTTACAGAATAAGGCCTGTTTTGTTTTCACTAAATAACTGTAGTTTTAAACAAAAGCATTGTAATTAAATATGATATTGATTGTCAAATTATTTCTTTAATAGTTTGTAAGATAGGTATTTGGAATATCTGCCTTTTTGTGGAAATAGCATGTATAAGTAATCTACTAATGCAATGAAAGTTCCAAGCATTTTCCACAAATGGCAAATTGGGGGGGCAGCATGAATGGAAATGCATATACTCAAATCCATCCTCACAACAGTGAACTCTTTTGGCCGACTTTAAAATAACCTCTCTCCTAAAAAAGCTGGGGAAAAGGAGCTTGAATAAGATTTACAAGCATTGGCCAGATACATTTGCTAACTTTGCTCAGATACAGAACACCCACCTTGTCATGGGAAACCCTGAATTAGGGACAAGAAAGGACTTTCTAAAGCATGAGATTTCTAACAACTCCATTCATGTGTTCACAACCAAAAAAGTGAAGTATCTTTAATATCATTTGCTTTAAAAACATATAATGATGTAAGTTTTCACATTCTCCTCCTATACTGAAGTGGAATACTACTTACTTTGTGAGATGCTGTAGATTTTGTCAGGAAGGTGAATGATCAACAGTCATTTACTATAATTCGGTCCTGCCTGCAATTCAATGTAATTGTATGGCAAAGCTGCTAATAAAAGTAACTGTATTTTCACAACGATCACTCATACTGGTAAGTACTTATGTGGTAAGAAGTACACTAAGTGCTCTGAATGGATAATTTCATGTAATTTTCATAAAAAGTCTTGTGAGGTACTTATTCCTCTTACTGTCATTTTATAAGCTTGAAACCTGCAATTAGAATGAATTTCACTTTATTATGATTTGCATTTATAAATATGTAACAAAGTTTTAAAGTATATACATTGTAAAATTTTATTCATTTTGTTTTGTAATTAGTGTAGGTAAGTTAATACTAATTACAAGAAAGTTAACTAGCTTCATGAAGAAAATGACGAGTTTTGCCAAATTTTATAGGTTTCCTGCTTGCTAACAGACTTTCAGTATGAGTAATGGAAAATAATATTATCTATGACTATCAGTAAATGATTTCACCTTATTCATCCTATTACAAGTTACTAATAAAGGTAGAAAACTATGTTTTCTTTTAAGCTCATTTTGCATAAGTTTCTTGCCTATGACAACTGAGAAACTACTCTTGGACTCACTAACTAACTAGAAGAGACTTCTAGAGGAAGCAACTGCTATTGGTCTAAAGTGAGAGTTTACTTGGATGGCCTATCAGTCTTAGATACTACAATATGACAAAGCTATATGTACTGAAAAGACATAACAGTAAAGACAACCTGGATACACAAGTCTTACCTATTTCTACCATAATATAAAAACAGAGCCTTTTACATGTTCAAATGTTTATAGTATACCTGGAGTCATGTTAGAGTACGGCATCTCTTTAGTAGGCAGACTCTGAATCATCCTACCTGGGCTGAATTTGTTTTCACCATTTATTGTGTACATGTAAGCTAATTACTCAATTATTTGTGCTTAGGTGCCCCGTCTGTAAACAGGACACTGCAGCAGCTAAGGCATGGAAGAACAGGAGGGGCCGCTGAGATGCACAGGTAAAGGACTCAGAACAAACACCGGCCACTCACAGTCAGCTGCTACCCTTTCTTACCCTACATTCTGAGTCAGCACAGGGCTCCACTTCCCGTGGGCAACTCTGTGTCTTATTCTGGTGACAGTCGAGGAGAACTGACTGTTCCTAAGCAACAGTGGAGCACCGGACTGTCCTTTCAGGACCAATCATGCTCATCTGTCCTCAACTCTGCATCAGTGCATCATGTGGGGTCTCACACTCTCCATAGCGGGAGGACATACATCTTGGAAATATGGAAATGTACAAAGCAATACGCACCAATGTGCATATGTAGCCTTCACAATATACGTAGTTTATCTTTGGTAATGTATGGGACAGAGTAATAGTTGAGCTGCTAATACAAACTTTGACTCTTTTCCCTGTTTATGTACTTTATAATTCAAATCTAACTGACAAAATATTTTAAAAGATAATTTTCAATATGTTGTTTATCAGTAGCATTAAGTGATGCCATTAATGGAATCAAACAGGTTCATCAAGTAAGTCCTGAAACCAAACATACCTCTAAGTGTGGAAAGCACTGAAATCCTCTGCTGCAGAAGACCAAAAAATTAATAGGCTCAGCACACAGTGCAGCTCAGAGCTTTGGGACTGAAGTCCCCCATAGCACAAGGGTCAGACTGTGGTGCCATCAGGCGGGGGAGCTTAGAAATTCTTTGCTGGAGTTGGGGATGGAAACAGGTTTCCATCCAGGGAGGATACAGAAACCCAGCCCATACCATCTGAGGTGTGATCAAGATATTCAGTGAATGTTTAAACTTTATAAAACTATTTACTAAGGTAGAAGACACATTGCCATTAATTTCCCACCAAGTACAAGCTCTCATTTAAAACATAACTTATCCCATCATTCTTGCTACTTTCTTATATACAGAAGTGAGGCAAAACTCACTTGTAATGAAAAGCAGTTTAGCCAGTGAAAACTAACAAAAACCCCAGCTATATGTGTAGCAGTCAACAGAGACTTTATGATGTTGGCTGCAATGACATAAAAACTGTGAGTAGAGTGAAAAGCAAACAGATCTGTGAGTGTGACTATGGATCAGGTGCAGAATTCAGAATTTATTTACATGATTTATTGCAGTCCTAAAGACAGTTCTATGGAATTGGTCCTACAGTGCTTTTTTCTGCAGTGGGGCGGTACCAGCCTCAAACTCAGGACCTCATGCTTGCCAGGTAGGCACTTGTACTGCTGAGTTATGCCCCTGGCTCCATAAAACTGGTCTTATTCCTTTCACCTGTTCAGGGAACTGAAATTCAGAAACATAAATTAACTAGCCTAGGGTTAAAAACTTGGAAAGCAATGGAATTAACTAGCCTAAGGTCAAAAAGTTGAAATGTACATTTGCTTAATTTTGAGTTTTCAATTATACTCAGAATGTATTAACACACACACACACACACACACACACACACACACACAGAGAGAGAGAGAGAGAGAGAGAGAGAGAGAGAGAGAGAGAAAGAGGAATGGTCAACAGACAGTCTGAAAGTACAGAGAGAACAGTGTATAATCTGAAGGAAAAGATACATCCACAGAGCGTGTGGTTTTTGAAACTCAACTAAAGAATGCCATGTGTATCTGTTCACACAGGGCAGCCACACAGATTTCAGGGTCTACTAATATTTAGTCTGCACCTATCACAGTATCTAACATGAATGAGTGCTCTAATCCTATTTGTGGATGAATGAATGAATGAATGAATGAATGAACGATCATATTAGTTATAAAATGTATAATTGAGCACTGGAAACAATTTGAATTCAGTTGAAGTTAGTTATTTATATATTTACAGACTTGCAGAAGGATTAAACTTTCACTTTTCATGCTGCCCAAAAGAATGTCAGTCTAAGAACTGTTAGGCACTAACATTTGGCATTCAAATTAAAAACAAAATGGAGTGTGTGACATGTGCACTACGTTACTAACGTTACTACTCACCAAGAGACACTGAGTGTTAGAACATAGTCTTGTTGCTCACTTCATTGCCAAATAAGATATACTTTGGATATTCCCAGAAAACTGGTTAGGGATTTGCAAAACTGTTCTTAAGTATCTTCCTCA